TCTTAAATCAATCTCAATGAACACAGTTTTCTGTCAATAATTAATTCTTTTCCATTTTTCACTCACAAATTTCCATATTCAATGATTCAGGTCAAAATGAATCTCAATCTTACCAATCTTAAATCAATCTTAATGAACACAATTTTCTATCAATAATTAATTCGTTTCCATTCTTCACCACAAATTTCTACATCCAATGATTCAGGTCAAAATGAATCTTTCAGTCTTACCAATCTTAAATCAATCTGAATGAACACAATTTTCTATCAATAATCAATTTCCTTTCCATTTTTCACTCACAAATTTCCATATTCAATGCCTTAGGACCGCGTGGTTTAGGTCGAGCTATAGATTGATCGTTAACCGAGTCACTTCTACGCGATACATGCACGGTAACTTCGTAAGCCCGGTCACAGCTAGACTCACCGTCGCGCGAATAATTCGTATCTAGCCATGGACGTTCCAATAACGGGGAAACTCGATTTTTTCTCATGTCCTCCTACCTGGTCCATGGTTGTTTCTGAAAGGTGGTAGTGCACATGGTGCAACCTGCATACGCTGGTGTGCGTGGCGGCAATCGATGCCACTCTGTTCTAAAGACCTTCGCGCGGTGCACGCGGGCGTCCAGGCCAATCCCAGCGACAATACATTCGGACAATTTATGATTCCTCGTGGAATTTACATATACCAGCATCATTGTGCATTGATTGTTGGATATTCGATTTGACTTTCATCCTCGCGATGATCGACCGTTAACAACAGTTCTGTTATACTTTGCTGACCGGTCACGAGTCAACTCGTATTTCCACGATTTGAATTCTTCACGAGTTATGTTTGAATTTTATTAACATTAGAAATACCGAGCATTTAATACCATTGACATGTAATCCGTATAAAAATTGTAACAATAGATTATTTCCAATTTCTGTAGACGTTATAGAATTCAAGTGAAACTGTTTATTTTTGAAATCATTCCGAATATTCAATGCTTTTCTATCGATAACAGCGAAACAAAATAATTGTTGGAATAGTTAGTATTAGTTTGAGCTTTAGGATGACGGATGTACTCGTTAGACACAGTTGACTGGTTAATGCGTTGTACATACGTGTACGTTCGCACGATCTTTAGAAAAAGATCTGGCGAGTGGAACTTGGAAGCGTGATTTTAACATTGAATGAATCACGTGCATGCTGTCACGCTTGATGACACCATGCTGGAGGTATGGCCTGTCTTCCGGCGGTGCATTGACAATCACGATGATCGCGTTTTGTGGTATTCGATCTTACCACAGTTCGGTGCTCCGGGTTAATGACTTCCGATGCAGTGAACTTCTCACTGGAGAAGTTACCGAAAGTTTAGACTTAATAATACTGAAACTACCGAGCAATCGCAGTGATTTATCTCCAATTTTTTTTATAAAAGTTAGAACAACGTTTGCAAAATCAAAATTCTGCAGTGGATCAATTTGACCTGTCGAATCTAAGTAAAAGTTAATTTGACTAAATTTCTTGACACTCGAAGATTGTATCTATTGATTTAATTGATTTTCTCGGAGAAGTATCTGTTATCTTTTTATCAATTGCAAAAAGGAGGAATCAGTTAACATGTTAACATGCAAATTACAGTGTAATAATCCATATCTGCTAAATTAGAATCAAACGACACGAAACGAAAAAATTGGTTATCGATTTTCCTACAGCTAAGACTCGTTAAAGCTGAAGTTTACTTTGTAAACATCAAGGTATATAATAAAGATGGATAAAATTGTATTTTATTTAGGTCAAGGTTTTGTGTATACTTCGTCAAGGTGCGCTCTACCTCTCTCTCTCTGTCTATCCGTCTATCTTTTTCGCTTGCCCTCTCATTCTATCTATGTGTGTGTGTGTTTCACTTCATGCTCCTAAGATAGAAATGAATTAATTCCGGGATGATTAACTCGTTTTTATGTGGTATATCGGATGACATTACCCAGCTGGTTAGATACCTTCATCAACCGCGATACTAACCGCAATTATTTCCGCATGCGAGCACCGTTAGGCATTTCAGTAATTGAGCCTAGGACAGTTCGAAATTAACAGCTCTGTTCGTAGCAAGGATTTCAATTGTTAATTAAAATCAGAACAATACGAGGACGTTAAAATACTTTTACATGGGCATTTAACATAGAATTTATTTACAGTAGATTTATTAAAAAAATGTAGTCAATTTCTTGCATTAAGCCCTACGATTTGTTCATCAAATAATCAATACGAAAAAGAGACAAATTCTAGATATATTCTGTGTTTGTTCTAGAGTGTAATTATTGATGACAGAAGAATAAGGTTCAATTTGTATTCAATAGGACTAATATTTATCCCAGTTAAATTTTTCTACAGTTTTCGCTGCTTCGGCGTGTCGTTCTGGAAGTAGATCGAACAAATGAATATTCCTTCTGTTAGCTTTCGTGAATTTTCATCTTGGGAAGTGTACAATGCTTGCTCGCTTTTATTTTGCCATAAATTCTATAAATACTGTCGCGTTTGAAGAATATTTCGAGTTTATTGCTTGAATAATGCCCGCGACCCGGCCGCCGCCAGGAACAGTAACGAGTATGCAAAGATCGATCCGATTTACTAAATGCACGGTATATTTTCATATTTAGCAGCCGCCCGAATTGAGACAATTCCGCTGAATATCCCGGGGAACTTTATTCGAGCGATACAACCGGACGAAACATTTTCCGCGGAAATACGACGAAAAGCTAGAGAACTCGAGGAAACGGGTTCTGAAAGTAAACTGAAAGCAAACTTGATTTCCTGCCGCAATTTACGTTGGATCTAGAGGAATCGAGATTTTATCTCAAGAAATTCACCGCAAAATAGAGACAAACTGCCTGTATCGAAAATGGAGGTAGAAAAATTCTCGTTTTACTGCTTCATGGAATAGCTGTTTAAGTGTACAGTCAGAATCGTCTGAAACTACGTTCGCCACGATACTCGCAAGTTTTATTGCTTATATATTCCTTGCATTACAGTATAAAGTTCAAAATTATTTATAGAAAAATTCACTTATTTTTATTGAATATATAACAATAGTCAACTGTTTACTAAATAAGAACGCTTCGACATAAATTTACAATTATTTAGAAATCTCATTTTCTGAGATTTTAGATTGACATACTTCTGTATAAACATTATAGTAGAAGCATTCTGTTTGAATTATTTCATCGGATGGAGAACTGATAAAATTACTAACGGAACATCTGTTTTGAATTTCAAAGCAGCCACCGAGTTTAATCTTAAACCACCTGGAATAACTTCAAAATCGTCTCTTGTATTCATTCGGCCTGTTCGTATCTCAATTATTCGGTGTTTACGCTACAATAGATACAGTGTTTCGATTAGAGCTTACGCAAGTTCGTTCGGGTACACAAACGTTTTTGAATCTCTGAATCATCTTGGAGCCTAGCAGCCTTGGAGTTCTTATTATTTGTGAGTCAAAATCTCTATCGAAATTTGCTCGAAAGAAGTGGAACAATTTGATTGATTCATCTGAAAACATACAGAAATACAACATGTAACACAAACATACAAAATCATTCCCATCACGCCGTAAAATAATTAATTCCACTTTCAAATGAAGAATACACAAAGAAGATTAAACAAGTTTTACCTAATCCCACCATCGAATCATCGAACGCACAATAAATTCATCCATCCTATTCTACAGTAATCTCAATAATCACCAAAAAGTTCTTAAATTAAAATTCAAACGCACAGAGCAGTTTTCAACACTTTATTCTATCTAACGGCACAAGCAACTCGCCGCCAACGCCAATCAAAATCCCGATTCATCGCGAACATGAAACCCGAACAATTCTCGATACCTGATATATCGAGTCTGCTTAATCCATTCTCCCACCGTACATCTTCCTCCGCAAAGAAACTGGCTTCCGGTGTCCGCAGTTTTTTATCCTCCCAGCGAAACCAACAGCTACTTAGTACCAATAATATTTCTCGCGAAACGTCCTCTTGAAAACGGCGATGAAGGTTATATACCTTTTTCACCGAGCTTCCTCTCTCGCCGCGTGAAAATCGCCTGGGGTAAATTACGACCGAATAAAAAAAAAGAAAAAAAAAGAACCCGTGAAAATACTCGACGGTTATCAAGCTTAAGCCGACACCGGAGTACCTACTATCACCGAGAAGTGTGTCAAACGCAGCACGTGCCTGATCAGAGGCATCAGTTTCAGCTATTCAACGGGAATCCGTGCCGTTTCTTCGTGGAAAATCATCGGCAAGCTTTCGTATATATATATCCCCCTCCCCTTTGCCCCGTCATGGCCCACTTTTTTTCCGTGCTGTCAGGGGGACACGCGTCAATGAGCCGTCACCGTTGTAAGGGCGTTTATTATCGTCGAGAAAAATCGTTGTTTTCGATGTCGGTACACCGCGATGCTTTAGCAATCGAAACTAGGCCAACTTAAAGGCGACACCGCGAGCGGAAGATCCGCGTTTCGTTGCACGCACGAGCCTCGGTTACACCTGACCCTCGATTTCCGCGGATTTTTCCTTCTACACGCGCCATCTTGACGCTTCGCGGTCGAACGCGGTTAACGGAGACTTGGATCTTCGATACGATTAAAAAGAAATAGATTCGATTCATCAGATTATGAGAGATTAATGTGTAGCTTTTTCTAGTATTTAACTTCGGCGCGAAGCTGTTTTATAAGAAATGTTTTCAGTTGAGTTCTTGTAAAAGGTTCATTTAGAGGAATTGAACGAAATGGTAGTTTTGTGAAACGTTCAGCTGCGTGGAATAAAGATGTGTTTCGGAAATTTGCGGCAGCTTTTGTTTTCTTTATCGATGGATTCTGCTCGCGCGATTTTCATTCGCGACGGATTTTCGCGTAGATCGAGGCTCAGGTGTGATTTTACTCAGAACCGTCGGTGGTAAATGCTACCTGCCGATCGCGTTTCTGTCGAAAATGTACTAAACGACCGCTTTCTTTCTGTTTCAGAATTGCCAGCCGAAGAGGGTAAGTCTCGACGTTATTGGAATCCATTTTCTCGTTTGAACCGATCGACACGGTATGTCACTTTCGAAACAGATTGCGCAGTATCGATCCCTCGCCTTTGTTGACATCGTGACATATGCTCGATTCTATACGGTCCGAGTCACTTTCAGCTTTTCGATTGTTTGGCTCGGTTGAAGCTTCAGTTGAATGTGCCCACTCGACGTCAAGACAACAAGCACTGAACCAAATGATTCTGGTTCTTAATTTGCATCACTGACTGTTCCTTATATTTCGTATTCGACGTTCGAGCGAACTTACGAAAAAAATGCCAATATTAAGGATCGATGTCTAATGAAAACGTATCTGTGGTGAATTTACTTTAAACGTTTACTAATTTGCACGGTTATTTAAGTTTATGATTCATAATCGGATGACATAAGAGACGTAAAAGCTTCGTTACTTTGTATCTTAAATTCTTAATGAATTTTTGTGCAGTTTTACTTAAACCAAAGTGAAACACTATATTTTTGACATAAATATTTGAAAGAAAATATAGACGTGTTCCATTGTTGCGAATGCTTTTATATCTTCGTACACGATTTTCGTGGATTTCGGCGAGAACTACAGAATTCTGCGCATAAATAGATTACAGTAATTAAGAAAGTTATAATCTACAATTTCGTGGAGGAATATAGGAAACACGAGCGCGTTAAATTGTAAGCGTTTCAGGAATGATCTCCCGTTATCTAATTTCAACCCACTCAACTTTAAGCCCGCTGGAGAGGAGAGTAACTACTTTAAATACCTTTACCCCTTGGCTAACAATTTTTTCGCAATCGGTCCTCCGGAGTTACTTGATCGTTAATAATTTACTAGAGAAAAGACGAGACTCATTTATTTTAGAGATCAAATAATTGGAACGGAAGAATGAATTATATTCGTATCTATTAACTTCAAATAAACTTCAACAGTATTAAACAAATTTAGTTGATCACACAATTAAAATGCTGCTGAAACGATACTCAATTCTATATTATAATCTATAAACTAATATTCCTCAATTAATATACAAAAACCTGATTGTTTTTATTTAATCATTGATTATCCTAATCACAGGCAACAAAGACGAAAAATATATTTAGAGATCAATGCAAGTTCAAATAAGCAGATTTTAATACATATTCACAAGTGAGTTTAAAAGTGAGTGGCGTTGAATAAAATTCATTTCTCCTTGCTTCTTTTAAACAATAAGAATCCACCACGTCAAATTTTTCCGAAATCTGATTATAATATTACACGAGAATCCCTTATACCTTATTATTGCGATAATTAAGTCAAAACTGAAAGCTCATTGAACGCTACGAAGATTATTAAGTTAAAGAGTATCACGAAGAATCAATTGTTTTTTGCTCTTTCAATATAATTTTAATACGTCACCCGATCGGGTCACGGTAACACAAACAGTGGACGTGTAAATGTCTAATGGCTGATCTGTGGCAGTTGTAGGTTCTCCTAAAGAGCATTGGATCATGCAAGATCGAGGCTTCTCCCTCGGTGTTGTTTACGTACTTAACGTATAATCCAGCGTATTCGTTTTTCCCTTAAAAATAGACGCACTTGTACGTAGTCGGTGGCCCGGAGTGCATTTATCCCTCGTACTCCATCCAGAACAGTCTGATTAAAAGCAAACCTTTCCTTGTTCATACCATTTTCCCTTTATAAGTGGAATCAATCAGTCGAATTTTTCTTCGCGTCCATAACAAAATTCAATATAAACTTAATAAATAACCTACGAATATCAATGTATTCAATAGAAAATATGATACTAATCTTATATTCAGTCATTCCACCAATCACGCTAATTAATTAACCCTTTATATTCGAAAGTAACCCTTGACGCGACAAAATCATAAAACATACATTAAATTTCGTGCAATGCATCAATACGTGAAATCTTGAAATAAAATGGCTTTCTTACTAATTTATGCAGTTCCAATATCGTTTACATCAGAAAATATTGAATACACCTACTAACAAACTTTCAACGGCAAAGGGTCAATATTCCCAGTTCATTCGTATCCATCGAAAAAATCGATCCGTTACCTATTCCGAGAATCAACATATTCATCAACCACTCTCCATCGATGTTACCGGTAATCTCTTCCGCGGAACCGCGCGATAAACCGATTCCTTTGTCTACGCCCAGTGGGGAAGCTTGTTCCCATCGAGTCTTTGTTTACATCGATTCTGCCAACGGACGAGCACGGAATTTCGTTCGCAGTCGCGTGTAGGTAAATCGCAACCACCCACGGTCTCGTTATCGCGCAGCATGGAGAACTTGCACAATCACCGGTTCCGGATGCTAGGCGGCGCCTGACGTCAGTGGACCGGTCGCGACGGGTCGGCCATTGAAGCGGGAAGCGGCGGCCTGGGGGAGGCATCTTCGAAAATGCGATTCCGGCCTCGCCGGGGCGCGTTAATGTCGAAGCACTTAGGCCGGAACGCGGAACGTTAAGTCGGCAACCAGGGGGGCCGGGGGGGGAGAAGCCAGTTGCAGATGCCGTCGGATGATGGAAGGCGTCGCTATCAAAGCAGGCCAGCCTTCGAGCGCACACCAACCTCGTTGCATTACCGTTTCACGTGCACGTGCGCCGCGAGTGGGCCGGCTAGCTGGGAACGTGTCAGGCCAAGTCTGTTGCACGATCGTCACCGTTCTATGCCACTCGATTTCCGAGTAATTGCGTTGGCATTACGCTCGATGCACTCGAACCGTAAGGCGCCCGCGTCGCCTTTCAGCCCGACCTTCGCCGTAGGATCGACGCCGCGTTCCCGTTTGCCCCCGATTTTCAGCTATCGCCAGCGGCTCGCTGCACGGCCAAGGACAATTGCAACTTAGAACACTGGTTTCTTCGGTACCACGTGTTGCACGTTTGCCTGCGACGATTCGCATCTTTTTTTGCCTGTGAACAATGTAGTGTTTGTAGTAAGGAAAGATTTTCCATTAGTACTGATGAAACTTATGCGAGACGTGGTTCTCGGGAGAATGTTTGACGTATTTTTTCTTATCGGGAATATAGTTTGAAGGGGTGAGCACAGTCTTCAGGGTTGAGGATTGAAAGTATATTTCTTAGAGTATCTTCGAAACTGGGGGATGTAGAGGAACATCTGTTGAATCGTTCCTCTCGGAATGAAGAATTTAGATTTCTCTTATATACTCTGTACTTTTGTGCACTAGGATATTGTGAAATATGTGCTTTCAACTCTGAACTTCGAAGGGTGTTTTCACCTCTTCGAAGTGGATGTTGGCTGATAAAAGGAAATACGTGTGAAATATTTTCCTGAGAAGTGCTTCACACAAGTTTCAGCGAAATCGGCGTGTGCTCGTTGGAAAAGGTTCTGCTGTCAGTTTCGTTGCGTCCTTGTCATTAGCTGTTTGCTTTCTTCGTCCTGCGGTTCCGTTAGTGGTTCGTCGCAATTTGTTTTGTTCGCGATGAATAGAAGTAACGAAGATCACAAATGAAACAGAATACGATGAAGTGAGATGCAACGGTAGAATGAATAGGGGCTTCGATTACTTATTTAAATGGGTCGCTTGCAAATCGATTAACTCCGTGAAAAATATACAGCGATTGTCAAAATTTCCCTTTAAATGGAGAATTAAAAAATCATTGTAGAACATATTTTACTTGATTATTACAAGTACAGCTTTGATCTAAGGGATATGTAAAATGTATAAAATATCATAACTCCGAAGTAATGTTTATTATTACTGCAAGTTTTGTATAGGCAATAGAATTTTTTTTTTTTATATGAAAAATCAAGAGCTAATGAAATGTTTTAAGGATAAAATCTTGAAAAATTCACAAAGTGAGTTCTTCCACTCACGATGCTCGATACCCTGAAAATAAAGTATCACATGGTAACAATTTATTTCTAATTAACACAGCAAAGTTACATGGGTAGTGTCGGGACTCTCTTCGCGTTCAAAATTTTACAAAGGACTTTAATCTTCCAGTTCTGCATTAAAAAGTTGCTGGGATATTCGCTTTGACTTAATAGCAGAACTAATGTAATTGCACGGCCCATTTTGAAAATTTCAATTTTTTTTTGAGAAATCTAAGTGTATTACTGTCTCTTTAAGTAGATCATTAACAACAAAAATGCGGGCTCTGTTAAAAATATGGAAATCGTGTTCCCAATCGACGTTAAATTCGTCCATTCGCATTTCAATCGAAACATTTAAACGAATAAATAGTTTAATAGGAAAATCAATGAAAGATACTAAAGACGTAATGATGAAGTACTCGTTCAATAAATTTTCGAATTCGTTTTACGCTTCGAACAGAATTTTCCGGTCTGTTTCAAGGGTGATCGTCGAGTACTTGAAAGGGAAGGTCTCGGTTTACATTCCTTTTAGCCTTAATGATAAGCTAATAGTGAAGAAGTTATCGAACTTCATTAAAAGCTTATTGGAGCATTAAAGTAATTAAAAGTCGTACTCAGTGAAATTTATGTTGAACTTCGAAAATACGTAAGATGCTTGAGAATATTCAGTAACAGTTTAATTCGTCTTTCATTTAGTTTTAAACAGGTTTTCTTATTCAACAGAGCATTAATGTTTTTATTCATTGAACATTACTTATAACATTTTATAAACGATTATCCAAGAAACTTTCCAAGATCGTATCTCGACAAGAAAATCTTCAATTAAATTTAACTCGATCAATTTTAAATATAAAGTGATTCACATTGAAATCCAAAGTTAAGAGATCGATACATAGTTTTCTTCTCTCCTGATGTTTCAGATTTCGATAAATAATTCAATTTGCCATGGAAAGAGTTTTTAAAGGTTTCAAAAATTCCCGTCCGCGGACGTGTTAGTTATAAGAAAATGAAGAATATTGTTCGTCGATTTCCTCCAACGAAAAGCTAGCGATATGAAGAGTGATGGCCATTCTTCAGCGATGAAAGCCAGAGCTACGAAAGAGTAATCGGAAATTCAAGCGATGACGATGCGCGGCCGAAAGCATGACAAAGATGTTCAGGGTGAAACGTGTTCCTATAATTGGCGAGCAATCGGATTTTCACTCGTCTCTGGTCGCCATCGCAGATTACAATTAATGAAATCGTCGACCGTAGAGCACGTTGAAACGACATGACGTCAATCGCATGCTGGCAAAAGGCACTTGCCATCAAGGACGCCATCGCCTGCCCCCGATTACTCTTATGTTAGTTCCGCCATTTTTTTTTCTTCGCACGTGGCACAGTGTTAACTAATACACGTCTTCGCGCAACACCGAATTCCTTGATCAACAGGTTACGACTTTTCGTCCGAGAGCAGAACTCTTTGCTGAGAGCAAACTATGCTGTCGTCTTTCACGAAAAATTACGGTGACACAAAATTGTTTAGGAACTTGCGGTTCTATTGTTTATTCAATAAGACAAGAATTAGCGTTTGATCTTTCATATAGTAAAATTCATATGGTACATGAGATTTATGAGAAATAATTAAGAATTGTTATAAAACCTGCTTTGTTCTTTCCAGTCTACGTTTATAAAATGTAATGTCTATCGATTGATAATTTGTCACATATTAATATTAATTTTAAGTTGGTGATATATGTAAATATCCTGTTTTTTAATTATCATTTGGTAATTGTTTGATATTTAGGATGGATCTTGTTTGTGATTCGATTTCAATTCGATCGATTTGAAAGAGAATCGTACAGAATAGTTTTAAGTACAATGTGTTTATCCTGATATGAATCATAACACTTAATGACTGCTGTTTTATATGGTTTCCGAGATCAATGGTTTTTGATAAACTTATACGACAAGATGTAATTACAGATTTATTATTTTTGATGACGAATTAAAGTGGGAGATATTGTCTTAGTTCCTATAGATATCACGAGGCGATATGATCGTCGAGTATCTTGTTATGAACATCCAGCAATCCGTTAAAATCCGATAACGTCGGATTATATTGATGGATCGAATGCTTTCCTCGAAGGAATTTACTCGTAAATTTACAGACAAAGAACATCGATTCTGTCGCAATTAAAAATCCTATTTAAGGAACTTCGCAAACTAGCTGTCAATAATATTATTTACTCAATCATTTTCGAAATGAATAATGTCACACGCAAATAAAGAATTTTCCCGCTAACCATTTAATTCGTTTTTCTTCTGATTTCAGGAAAATCCATATGGCAACTCGTGTTGGAACAGTTCGATGACCTTCTAGTTAAGATTCTTCTATTAGCCGCTATTATTTCTTTTGTACGTATATGACTAAAGAATACTTTCACATTTTCATACTTTCAGTTAATCATCTGTGTCTCGATTCATTATTATTAAACAACGGATCTTTATGCAAGCTAGTCTAGCTCGTTATTTTAACTGAATAGGTTAGTAAGATAGATATAAAATAATAGCATTCATAAATTCTCTAAATCTATACATTTCTTTTACTGACAAATGCATAAAATCCTCTATCTAATTCTGACAAATGATTTACGTTAACACTAGGACAACCAAGCGTTTAATATAGTTAATATAATCCTTATAAAAATCGTACTAACAGATTTTCCTTCGGTTTCTTCATATATTTAATACATTATTGAAGTGAAGACTTCATTTTTCAAATCATATCGTTTAATCGCTAGTTCAATCATTTAATTGCTAGTCCTACATTATTGTAACATTTCACATATCTATAATACAAAAAACAATATTCCCTGTTCTTTCCGATAAGTCACAAATTTCAGTTTGATAGGTTCAAAATTATATTTAGCCGGAGTACGATCTGTTATAATATCAATAGTTGCGAAATAAGGAAAGAGACATCCGCCATTTTGTCGGGCGCGGCGGTGCTAGCGTTAATACCCGCAATATTCGAAACTCCTACTCGATGAAGATTATATTCTCGCGCAAACCCGTAGGACAGGTATAACCGATCAAAATGAACTCACTGTATTCCTGTCGCGGAAAGCGACAGCGATGACGAAAGTTTCGCGATCGTAATACAGAAACTGGCTGCCGGTCGTATATTCGCGCGACCCCATTGCGCCCGTCGGAAATCATTGAAACGGTGAAAAACCAATGGAACGTTCGGATTTTCTACCACTGGCAAATGTTCCGGCACGCCTCGTCGATGACCGTCCTTATTTTTAGACGTGACGCGAAAGACATTAATTAATAAAATCGAAGCGCCGCATTATTCCTCGGAGAGCGGCTAAGTAATGATTAGTTGGTCAAAGTCATACTACGTTTACGAAGGTTCAAGGCTGACTTATTATAAATATATCTAGTTCCAAAGGTGAAAAAATAGCGCATCGATCTCCCCGCGCTATGAAAGCTCATTATCTTTCACGCACGCGTAAAAATTTCGTGGCAACCGATCGTCGGAGGAATTCAGCTGCGCGACAGAGTAATGATGCTGTCTGTCAAATTCGTGGATTTCAATAGGACGTTGTATTTTGTCTGAGAAAATCCATTATTCGACAATATTCTTTAACACTGAATAATAATGAATATTATATTTGTTTTTTGTTGTTCTATAGGTAATCTACTGAGAGCTTTTCGTTAGTTCACGTAAAATAGTTATATCCCACTCTATAAATTCCTCCAAGAATATTTCCCTGCATTAATTAACTTATTTCCCAGAAAATTACTCTTGAAAGCTAAGGAAAAGGAAAGCTAAGCTCCGAAAGTAATGGCGATTCACTAGATGCAGAAGTAAATCTAATATAATATCAATGTTTCATTTTACGCCAATAATGTACAGTCCTCTCCAATGAATCTAACAAAGAGCGTCTGAAGAATCGTCGTTGCTTTCCTATTGCCACGTCATAAAATCATCTCCATCGGAACCATGAATACCCTAATCGTCTAATCAACAACGAATCAATTGCGTGTTGCAGGTATTAGCTTTATTTGAAGAGCACGAAGATGCTTTCACTGCCTTCGTCGAGCCCTTCGTTATTTTGCTCATCCTTATCGCCAACGCCGTGGTCGGTGTCTGGCAAGAACGTAACGCCGAGTCTGCGATCGAAGCGTTGAAGGAATACGAGCCCGAGATGGGTAAAGTTTTACGAACGGACAAGGCCGGTGTCCAAAGAATTCGAGCCAAGGAGATCGTGCCCGGGGACATCGTCGAGGTGTCCGTCGGCGATAAGATCCCGGCCGATATTCGTCTCACCAAGATCTACTCCACCACCCTCAGGATCGATCAGTCTATCCTGACCGGTGAATCGGTCTCGGTGATCAAGCATACCGATCCCGTTCCTGATCCACGTGCCGTCAACCAGGTGGGTACCGCTTCGGCAAGCATAACGCAACTTGTTCCTAGAAAAAATCACCTCTAACCTTTCGAATATTACTTGGCACTACTACGATTTCTCGCTAGGTCATTGAGGACGAATCGTTACCCGTAGAGACCTTCTTATCGTATGTAGGATGTTGACGAAAGTATTTATAACTTTTAGGGTAGATAGGGTTAGGCGAGTGTTGCAAGGAAGCTTTAATTAACGTGGCTTGACGAAATAATGTTTATAAACAGACGAATAAGTGTTCGTTCTGATTAGGATGATTGGTTTTATTGGGGGCTATGTGAGATCAATGGATTACTCGGTACTTTTCTTATTTTTCTGGTTAGAGGAATATTATAATTTTGGTAGTTATGGAAGCGAGAGAATCAATCGTTTTGATATTGAAAGAAAAGATTGTTTACGAATGCGTGTTATCGAGGAACGAGACCTTAAGAGGAAATGTTTATACTAATATATGCTAATAACAGTTGCGTGTATCTGTTGAATATGTATAATGAACTTGGTTGGGAAACCGCGATTATTGTCCGTTAATATACGTAACTACGGTTCACCATCGTAGATCACTAATCAGTGTCTAGAGAAGTAGGGCACCTAATTATCTCATGCTTGGCTGGATCCTCCCTGGAATTATTCGATCACTCAGACCAAAATGGAGCAGTGTCATATAACCCTATTCCTACCCACTGCCACTGACCGACAACTAAGTGCAATGTGACCTACATGCGGAATGTAGGTGTAATAAAGTTATCCATTAGTGAAATCGAAGAATCTTTTCTAGTTTTCGATCTGTCTTCGTAAGAGTATAATTTGACAATTCATATAATTTAAAATTTAGTATTCGTTATTTTGATAATTCCTCGCTCCATAAGATTGATATGAAACACAGTAGCATCCAACAATTCGTATAAAATTTGAAAAAAGTCTTTCAGAAAGAAGTAGACAATTTTAAATCGACACGTTGAATACCACGAAAAACATCAGCGTTCTATGCACCACTTATTCTTTCTATAGCAAAGATACAAAGCATTATTAATTTTTTGCATTCGAGAGGCGACTCCCGAAAAATTCAATATAAAATGTTTAATAAGGTATTAACACATGAAACCTAGAAATAAAACAATTTTGTCCATAGTTTGTGCCAGGTGTTTCTTTATGTAAGTTGAAAATGTTAATATTTCGACAGAAAGTAATGAATGTTTCCAATGAAAAATATTGTCGGGTGCAAAGGGTTAATTCTTTGATATGAAAATTTTTATGTTACCCTATTATCTAGTTATTTACGTTACGGGAAATTTGCATTCGAAATCAATTATCTTCCAAGTCATGGTTATTAAGTTCGTTTTGAAAGTTCTGGTCATTAGTGATCGCCGTGTTAAAAAAAGTTTCAATATGAAAAGTATGATTTTCCTCTTGCACCCATATATTTCAGTGCAACGAGATTAATCTGAATATACTCTGATTTCAGGACAAGAAGAACATCTTGTTCTCTGGTACCAATGTCGCCGCCGGCAAAGCTCGCGGTGTTGTCATTGGAACCGGCTTGAACACCGCTATTGGTAAGATCCGTACCGAGATGTCGGAGACCGAGGAAATCAAAACACCCCTGCAGCAGAAACTCGACGAGTTCGGCGAGCAATTGTCGAAAGTAATTTCCGTTATTTGCGTTGCTGTCTGGGCTATCAACATCGGGCACTTCAACGACCCCGCCCACGGTGGATCTTGGATCAAGGGAGCTATCTACTATTTCAAGATTGCCGTTGCTCTTGCCGTAGCCGCTATCCCCGAAGGTTTGCCAGCTGTAATCACGACTTGCTTAGCTTTGGGAACTCGTCGTATGGCCAAGAAGAACGCTATTGTCCGATCATTGCCATCCGTTGAAACTCTTGGTTGCACATCTGTCATTTGCTCAGACAAGACTGGTACTCTGACCACTAACCAGATGTCTGTCAGCCGGTATGTGCCATCGAGATGCAGTACTTAGACCTTAGATTAACCTGTAGAATTCGGCGAGTAGTTATAGGAAATGTTCCCATGGTTCTGTTACAGAATGTTCATCTTCGAGAAGATTGAAGGTAACGATAGCAGCTTCCATGAGTTCGAGATCACCGGATCGACTTACGAGCCCATCGGTGAAATGTACTTAAAGGGGAAGAAGATCAAGGGACAGGAGTACGAGACTCTTCACGAGATTAGTACGATTTGCATCATGTGCAATGACTCTGCTATCGATTTCAACGAGTTCAAACAAGCATTCGAGAAGGTCGGCGAAGCGACTGAGACTGCCCTGATTGTGTTGGCTGAGAAGATCAATCCCTATGGCGTGTCGAAAAGCGGACTGGACAGACGCAACACTGCTATCGTTGTCAGGCAAGATATGGAGACCAAATGGAAGAAAGAATTCACTTTGGAGTTCTCTCGCGATCGTAAATCCATGTCATCTTACTGCACTCCTCTGAAACCAAGCAAATTGGGCACTGGACCGAAGTTGTTCGTTAAGGGTGCGCCCGAGGGTGTCCTGGACAGGTGCACGCACGCTCGTGTTGGCTCCAACAAGGTTCCTCTTACTTCCACTCTGAAGAATCGTATCTTGGACTTGACTCGTCAATACGGTACTGGCCGAGACACTCTCCGATGCCTTGCCCTTGCCACTGCTGATCATCCGATGAAGCCTGATGACATGGACCTTGGTGATTCCTCGAAGTTCTACACATACGAGAAGGACCTCACCTTTGTCGGTGTTGTTGGTATGCTTGACCCACCCCGCAAGGAAGTATTCGACTCCATTTTGAGGTGTCGCGCCGCCGGTATTCGAGTCATTGTTATTACTGGTGACAACAAGGCCACTGCTGAAGCTATCTGCAGACGTATTGGCGTCTTTGAGGAAGATGAGGACACGACTGGCAAATCATACTCTGGACGTGAATTTGATGATCTCTCCCCAGCTGAACAGAAGGCTGCCTGCGCCAGGGCTCGTCTATTCTCTCGCGTGGAACCTGCTCACAAATCTAAGATCGTTGAGTACTTGCAGAGCATGAACGAAATCTCGGCTATGGTAAGTTATTTTGATAGTAATATAAAGTTGTCGTGATACGTTTGTTTATGAAAGTATGTGAAATGTCTATTCATCTGTCGTAGACTGGTGACGGTGTCAATGATGCCCCAGCCTTGAAGAAAGCTGAAATTGGTATTGCTATGGGATCTGGAACTGCTGTAGCGAAATCCGCATCTGAGATGGTGTTGGCGGACGACAACTTCTCTTCCATTGTCGCTGCCGTTGAAGAAGGTCGTGCTATCTATAACAACATGAAGCAGTTCATCCGTTACCTTATTTCTTCCAACATTGGTGAAGTCGTGAGGTGTGTTTAGACAGAAATGTATTTGCAATGAAATGAGTATGAAAAGAGTGGGAATTATTCAATAATTAAGAGATTCGTTATTGGTTAAGTATTTTCTTAATGATTATAGTATATTCTTGACTGCCGCTCTTGGTCTTCCCGAAGCCTTGATCCCTGTACAGCTCTTGTGGGTCAACTTGGTCACTGATGGTCTTCCAGCCACTGCTCTTGGTTTCAATCCTCCTGACTTGGACATCATGAGCAAAGTAATATTACTAATATGTGTACTGTATTCACTTACGCTGACTTTGTTTAAAACAAAAATTATTTATAATATAGCCTCCCCGTAAAGCCGACGAATCCCTTATCTCGGGTTGGCTGTTCTTCCGCTATCTGGCTATTGGTGGATACGTAGGTGCTGCTACTGTTGGGTCCGCTGCATGGTGGTTCTTGTACAGTCCAAATGGCCCACAGATGAGCTACTACCAACTGGTAACTCAATTCAAATTTATCCAATTTTAATTAAGAAAATTTTTAAGTTTTTAGATACTGCGTGGTCATGGTAGCTTCCCGCTAAATTATCTTCAATGAGTAACTTTTTTTTTTGTTAAGGAATTTATTACATCGGGGAGCCTCTATAGTGACTTCTAATTTTTTTTAAATTAACTTAAATTTTACGATTTTCAAGAATATAAATGCAACATAAGTGAGCGGTACAAATTAATACTGTTAGAAATCTAATTCGGAGTTTCATAATTTACAGACTCATCACTTGGCGTGCTTGGGTGGTGGTGAAGAATTCAAGGGCGTTAACTGCAAAATATTCACAGATCCTCATCCCATGACAATGGCTCTGTCTGTACTTGTAACCATTGAAATGTTAAACGCTATGAACAGGTAATATAACATACACGTGTATAGGTAAATATAAATGTGCTTCTTAGAATAGCATGAATTTATACTTTATTTTTTTCTTTTATTTCAGTTTATCTGAGAATCAATCTCTCATCACTATGCCGCCCTGGTCTAACATGTGGCTTATTGCCTCTATGGCTCTTTCTTTCACACTCCACTTTGTCATCCTTTATGTCGACGTACTTTCGGTATATAATAAACTTTATTTATCCCTTCACATCGTTCAATTGTCTTAGTGCGATAGTATTCATTAATTTCTGTTTTGTTCCAGTCTGTATTCCAAGTTACCCCTCTAACGGCTGAAGAGTGGGTTACCGTTATGAAGTTCTCCATCCCAGTGGTACTTCTTGATGAAACCCTGAAATTCATTGCCAGAAAGATTACAGATGGTGAGAATCCCCTTTACACAGTGCATTGGATCGTTATAATGTGGGCTGTGTTCTTTGAACGATGCATTTTTCCCATATAGAACATCCGTGAAACAATATTAGTCTAACAGACAATGTTTTTCCTATGGAAAACATTTATAATTGAGTTCTCGGACTTGCAATTGCATTTAAACTAAAGTTCTTCCCCGTTACCCGGGAAGGTCGAGATAAGTTATTAACGAAGTGCGTTTAAGTGAGATTTTAACCAGTTTGACTGTTGTGCATGGTGTTAGTACAACCATACAAATTTGCCACCAAGGCCCACCATGTCCACATCACACCGTATCCTGACATCGCTCTACAATCATATGGATTTCAGTGGCTCCGAGTGATAAAGACACCCATCGTAATCAAAACGAATTGTGATTGTTGAATTATTTTCTACGAGTGCCTTTTAAACATTAACTTTCCTCTGCAAAAAAATACCCGTTGATGTTTTTCTAATCTGATATGTTTATACATTAATCCCCTCCAATACTTGCATGCTATTTCAGCACAATGCACATTTAACTATTATGTTTCTTAGGTAGCTACTGACAAACCCTGGAATTCCTCGTATAGTTGTACTTACTGCTACATACACGCTGACATGTCTTAACGACGACTAAAAGAAAAACAGACGAATATTTTTTGCAAGTTTGCAGTAACCTTCGTAGAAGCCTCGTTTTTTAATTGCAAAGTAAAGAGATCAAAAAAAAAATCTAAAAATCAGTTAATACCGTGACAGACGAGATCCTCTAGCATGTTAGTCCACAATCTGTCATAGTTCTAATCCTGGGCACTTGACTTTAACGCACATATACATAGCAGCTCATTTATACCTTTTTGATTTATTTACTAGGTGTCTTCAGCTACTCTAATTTATTAATTTATTAGACATTCCTTTTAACTGCTTTCACTGTAGCTTATTAAAAATGGTATATTAATTAATTCTCAGCCTCAAGAGTGTCTGCTACAGTCAAGAGGTCAAAACTGGAACTGCCTGATCCGTTGCTGAAATTTCAAGACAAGCATGCATGAAGTTTGAATTGATAGATCTCATTTTGAACCCATCTATTTTGTCTTCCTTCCCATAGACATAATGCATGCACAACCGTGTTGTTAATATATCCCTGAAATTCATCTCTTAGAACAATCACTATTGATAATTAACGAATCTTTCCGTGCGCCATAAATCACAAATCAATGTCCTCGACAATGCATTTCGATAACGAAATAAGCATACATAGAATTTACGCAATTCGATTCAGATTTGATTTAACCATAACGAAACGCAACTATTCAAAAACTAAAACGAAATTTTCAAATCCTGTGTTATCAACGGGCACAGCAGAATCACTTTAACATCTTTGCACTCTCATCGCATCCACTTTGGTCTTTACATGTATCTTATCTCTGTGTGACTTACATGTCCAATGATCAATGCCACACAATAGATTTTTATATACCACTAATTTATGGGTACGGATTGCAAAGGCTCGTGTATGTAAGTTAAGAAAAGGACATTGAAAATTGCTCGTTTCAAGCAGTCCGTATCATGTTACATTATATCCCCCTTTCTCATCCGTATGGTGGTCTGAACACGAGAATGCTCGGTTTATAAATATATCTTCGTTCCTACCAACAACAGCGCAGTTGGTTCATAGATTCCAAGCGATTCGAAAGGTGATATCGGGTCTCTAATGGTACATCAATTCTTTCCGCGGTAGTGTCACGTGACTGTACCTGAAAACAAATAACTGTACCTATTCCGATCAAAGAGAGAGCACCTTCCTTTTGTACTTGTTCCTCCTTCTCAGTACTCTATCAAATAG